ATATATATAAAGATATATGTCTAATGTTCAAATAATCTACTACCTACTACTTGTACTACAATTCCTACTTAGCAATTTTTCACTTATTGCGAGGCTTCAGGGTACAGATCTCCCGCGATAAACGAGGGACTACTGTATCATTAAAATAAAAAATATAAAATTATATATATAAAACACTTATTTTTGTCTTCCATTTTAAAACAATTTTTTTATATTAAAAATACGAAAATGTTAATTTTTTTCAACATGCATTTTGTAAATCCACGTGATTTTCTTATTTATTCATTTTTTCCATTTGGAAAGAAACTTTTCCTGCATCCACTTGTTACACAATAAGAAAAACTGAAGTATTTAAAATGATTTTCTATTGATAGTTATTGATTATGTTTGGTAAACAACCCCTGAATATATTATCATATTTTAGAAGGTGTCCAAATGTGTGTAATTCTCATAACTTGTATCTAAGTAAAATATGTATTTAGTTGAAATGCTTCATTCATGAACCAACTTTTATCTGTGGATCCATTTATTGTGACGTAGGCCGGATTGATAATTTGGTCGCTCCGCCCTAAAACATATGAATCATCTTTTATTTGACGATAAACGAGAACACCGTTTTACTAAATGATCTTTGTTTTGTATTGAAGAAGACTAACCTTGTCACTAAGACAGACGGCTCACCGCACAAATGTTTGCAGTAAATTTGTACTTGTCATGAAGTCAAAGTTGTTTTGGAAAATCAACTGAGAAATCTCAGATAGTCTGGAAGAATCTGGAATTTTAAAACAGAAAACCTGTTCGAGCCCTGGAGTGAATTCATTACGTTTACAGGCTGTTGTTACATTAACACACGTGCGTGCTCTCGATCTTCACGCAGCAATTACACCGTATACTTTTAGAAGTGCAGCAGTCTCTTGTTTATCGTGGGGTTTAGTCCCCCCGGTGCATGCGAGAAGTGAAAACTCGCAAAGTAAGGATACAATAATCCAAGTTCAAGTAAACTTTATTGTCATTACCATCTCATGTGGTACATAAGATGGAACGAAATTATATACAGTAGTCCCTCACTACTTTGCGGTTTGTTTATCACGGATTGGCTCCATCGCGGTTTTTCAAAATAAGATTGGACATGACGCACAATTGGCTGATTGATGGATGAGCTGCACGATCGGCATGGAATTTTTATTTAAAATAAATTATTTTAAATTATTTAGCACCTGCTGCAGCTTTGTGCAGCCCTTACTGCTGCAGGATAAACTTCCTGCTGCAGTTAAACAGCTGATCACATGTTCAGGTGCAGAGCGGAGAAGTGGGCGTGGCCAAGAGTGCTTGCAGGTGGCAAAGAGCAGAGGAGGCTCTCTGTCTTGTCAAAGCTCCAAAATTCACAGTTGAAACCTGTGCCTTTGTCTAAAAAGTTGTTTTTCTTTGCAAAAAGAAGCTGAGAACTTGTTTACCGATTATTTTATTATTATTATTTTTAAGATTTGTGTGAAAAATGCTATGCTAAAGAGCTTTACCATTTTGAGAACCGAAAAACAGAAAGGAAAGACAGACCATGTCACGTCAAGGGGCCTCCCTCTCATTTTTCTTAAAGACGCTGCTCGCTCCCTCACATCCATCCTTCGCTTCAAACAGTCTTATACTGCCATCCAGTGGTCAAAAAAGGGTACTACACACAAAAATTAACCACCATTCTTAAATTTAACAATAATTACTAAATATTGTCAAATTGCAAACAATATTATAGTTTATCGTTATAATTCCTGAGACAATTAATCGCCCAGCAAAAATTGTTATCGTGACAGGCCTATTTAAAATATTGCAGGAGTGTGGGAAGGGTTTAAAACACCTTCATATATATCTATATAAATACTAAAATATACTACTACTTACTACTTGTACTACAGGGTACAGATCCCCCGTGATAACCAAGGGACTACTGTATTTTTAACTGGGTACCCATAGACATTCTTATCTTTCCTTGAACACGAGCCAGTTTTAGATCCTTTTTATTGTCGAAGCAATCCAGTTCCTTCACCATAAATAATTTCCTCAGTCACAATTTATATTATTTTAACAGACCTGGGTCACATTAAATATACATTCTGGACCTAACAGGCTTTTACATGAAAGGTAACCTAGAAAATATTTCTAAAATAACGTAGTTGCCTTTATGAATTGCCATATTACAACATAAGGATTACCAGTGTTATCAATAATTTTGTCCTAAAATGCAATATTTACACAACGAAGACAGTTTGGCTTTAGGTTTGAGCCCATTGTGTGGAGCTGTGAAAGAGACAGCCTGACCGTTGGTCCGTCTCAGACAGCTGCAGTGTGATTCAGTGCTCGTCTAACTGATCCCTCCATTTATACACGCAGATCCAAAAAGATCAGCGGAGAGAGCGCCCTTTAATGAGGAGGAAATCCGAGCTCCCGAAAGACATCTCCACCGTCACAGCCTTGGAGTTGCACCGAAGAGCCGAGGAAATGCTGACGACACACGACGGCCATTAAGAGACCACCGCAAACCGGCAGCGGCAGCATCCACAGAGGAGCCACGGGCCCACGGAGGGCCAGCACGACCACCGAGCTCTGGTATCTCAGTGCAGCCCGGCACAGAACAGAACAGTCCCAGCACCGCCCGACGCACAAAATGTCTAAAGCTACACATTTAAGCTCAATTCAACTTTGTTTTTTGGTTTGGGGGGGAGCAGCGCTCGTCCCTTCAGCTCCTTTCTCCTTCCTTCCCGCCCGATTGCAGGAGCCATGCTGGATGCTCTCGCATGACACCACCACACCTTCCTGAACTTTTACCCAAGAAGAGCTTTTATCCCCTTTTCCTTCTCACTCTTTCTGTTTTCCTGTCTCATTTTGTTTTGTAGGGGTACAGTGCTGCCCCCTTCTGGTCATTCTTCTCAACTGTCGTGCTCTCGTTAGTCTCTTTATAGACGTCAGGTGCTTGCAAAAACAAAAAGAGCCCCAAGATGTAACCACAACAAAGGCCATCATTGGTTTAATCCTTTAAAAGAAGAATATTAGTTGGTGAAACATGTCAGATGTTCATATAGATATATACATATTGAATATTAGATATTTTTGTCATAACATTTGAACAAGACAATTGTTTCTATTTTTCCCTACGTAGTATTTTGATGGCTTGTTTCATATTTCTGTACAACATCTGTGCTTGCTGTGGTTTTCATTCTCTTTCTAACAGCCCACCTGACGCTTGAGTGGGTCTAGATTTAAATCCACGCAGCACGGTCGCATTAGCAAACAGACAGATGTCCGGTTTTTCTTCTTCTGTGTAGTTTGGTGCCAACATGGTTCATTAATGAGCTCTTTTGTTAGGAAAGCTATTGTTTTGAACTGTAGTCAGGTTATTTCAGGTTAGCCACGGTGTTTGGTCTGTCTAAGCCTGGTTTAGTTCCACGGATGGGATTTATTTTTAGTTTCTTCTTCTCTTCCAGTCATTTTAGGATTTTTAACGTTCAGAACGAGTCATGTTCGTTCACGTGAGAGGCTCAGCAGACTCGGTGGCTCGCGTCGAACTTCTAGCGGTTTACCGACGCCGGTGGAGTTTTTATTTCTCAAACACCTGGCAGAGATTGGATTGCTTCACAGAAGAGGCACGCTGAGTTTGAAGCCTTTCTTTTCACAGTGCCTTTTTGTAGTGGAAGGGGGATAAAATGCCAGACGGTTAGAAAACTGTGCTTCGAAAAACAGAAAATCGGACGTGTTTAAGTGTATTCTTGGCGCACCTCAAGCCGCTCGGACCCCAACACCTGTCTTGTTGTTGGATTTTCCAGCAGGCGGGGTGGTCTCCCCTCTAACCAGTTCAGCAGTTAAGCACTTCCTGATAAAACTTGAAAAAAAAAAAAAAAACAAAGAAGAAAAATAAAGTAGAGCAGAGCTGAAATCCATGATGCTGTCTGTCTTTATGTGTGGGGGACACCTCCCCACACGTTGCTTCTGTTAAAAGCTCACCCCACCTCAATCCTTTTCCTCTGCTGTCCCATTCCACTTTTTATTTGTACCCATGTTTGATCGTTTTCGCTCAACCCTGTCCCGTCTTGAATTTACAAAGAAGTCATTGGGTCTCGTAGCTGCGTCTGGATGCTCGCAGCTTCTTCGGTGGTTTAATTCCTCCTTCGCCTGCAGAAGCTCTCTGTCAGTGTTGCAACCGAATGTTCAAACTGTAAATCGTACTGAAGACGCGCTGTTCTGTTCTTTCTGTTTGTTTTGAAGAACAACAGTCACCAAAGACTCGTACCGAAACCCCCGCCCCGCCTCTGGTCTTCACGTTGAATGGAGTGGACTCCATCCCTTCAGTAATCGCGTCATCGTGCTGCTCCAGCACATCGTCCGTGTCCTGTTGGTGACTTTTGTTCTTGAAATGGCTTTTATACTGGCTTCTTTGGAGCTCCTTTCATTTTACATAAGCTTTGTTTTCTTTCTCTTTGAAAAGAGCGATTTCTGCACGTGTCCTTTAGTATACGTCTCATACTAAATGACTTCATTGTACATATGATGAACTTTTATGTTATATCTATTATTAAATGGTAGATTTCATATTTTGTACAAAACGAACCCCTGTGTACAGAATTCAGAGGTTATTAGCAACTGCAGATGGTTGGTATGTGGCACAAACTTCAACACGTAACCGTTTACGTTTAGAAAGCGACTAGGATTTGGATAGTTTTTTATCTCTAATCCATCTTCACCTCCGTTCTGTTTCTCACCTCCAGACATGTGTTGCTCCTAACATTCATGAGCCTGTCGTGCGTGCTTTTATCCAAAATCTCCAGTGGTGTACATCTATCTATATATAGCAAATAAAGAGAACATGTGAGTTTTATATTTTCATCCTAACGAACGTCCTCCGAGTCGTTATTGGCTGCGTTCGGTGTGCGTGTTACAAATATAAACGAAATCTCTGTTTCAGCTTTTATCAATCTGATTTAGCTGGACTAGAACGTTTCTGGAGAAACTTTGGAGGGTGCTAATGCATTGGCGGCATGTCTTTATGCAGCTGCCAGTGGCTCATTATGGTCACTATGGTAACCGTACACCTGCTTCTTTCTCTCCCTGAGTGCGAAGTTAAATCAGAAAATAAAGCTCAAACAAACGGCGTTATAAAGCTAAATCAGATCCTAAAAAATGCTGTTTAGTTAAGTTAAAAAGTCCTTCACGTCCTGGTTTGAAGAGAATATGTTGAGCTAAAGTACGGTAGTCTCAAGCTACTTCACATTTTGACTTTCGTGGACTCGCCCGTTCATGGTTTTCAACATAAGATTGTACACAACGCACGATTGTCAACTTTAATATTACGTGACTGGGACGGTAAGAGATAAAAAGTTTATGAAGAAAACTTCAGACAGGCTCTTACATTTTGTAGTTTTCATTCAATAAGCCTACACTAACGCAAGTTAAAAGAACTACACTACCCAGAAGCCAACTGTGCTTCTGGCCGCTGCTTTCGGCCGAAATGGAGGGAAAGTTGAGCAACGCAAAGCTAGAATTATCGATCTATCTGAGCTCACAGAACTGGTAGGAAAGTCGCAAATAATCCTGAAGCTCAGTTATCCACGTGCACATCAAGCTGGACTGAGCAGTGGGCTTCATCGCCTGCAGAACCAGAACCAAGCCCGACCAGAACCGGAGCTGCTGGTCTACAGAGTTGGTGAGTAAAATTTTGCAGTACTGTACAGTACATATACGTATGTTGTTAAAATGACGTAGGTTTAAGAGTTTAGAACATGCAAGAGTGTGGGAAGGGTTTATAAAGCCTTAAAATATATTTAAATACTAAAATAAATAGGGATGCATGATATTATAGGCATGGTATTATTATCGGCCGATATTAGCACAAAAGTTAAAAATCGCAACCATCAAAATAACTCACTGATCTAAAAGGCTCTGTTTTTGTATGACAACCCAACGACAGGATACTGCAGCGCCAGCACAACGTGATGACGTCACACGCCCACCTGGTCATGGCGGAGAAGAAGTCAAAATGCACTAGTACTTGATGCGCTTCTCACTTGTCGCCTGTGAACTGGTTGGGTTTAGATTTGTGAAAATTTACAAATTTGCACTGTTCGAGTTGTGTTAGAGTAAATGTCATGAATAAATTGGACACTAAACATAATAATCTAAGTTGAATTGTTACGTCGTTTTCAACCCCCTTTTTGGCATCTGTATATCACATCAATATCTGTATTGGATATTGGCCAAAAAATCCAATATCATGCATCCCTAAAAATAAATACAGCATTCCTACTTTATGGTTTTTCACCTATCACTGGGGGGGGGGGGGGGTGGAACATAACCCCTGCGAAAACCAAGGGACTACTGTGTGTCCAACAAATATACCATAGAGTTGGAGTCAGTACTGTTTGCAAACGATTAGAAATTTTTAGACGGCTTGAAGGTTTATTCAACGGCCAGTTGAACAGCGTGGAAGAAAACTGTAAAGATCATAAAACCTTAAAGTAATTGTGTAAAACTCATCGTAAAAACTTCTCAGTCATGAAGGATCCGACTTTTTGTGACCAGTTTAAGCTTTGAATGTTTCTACAGTGAAGTCTGCCTTAGCTAGAGCTCTAAAAACAGCTGCCATTTCTCATCTGTTACACCAAAACCCCACAGATGCTCGTTCTTTAAACAAAGTCTTGTACAGCAACCACAAGTGCCAACACACAGTTCTTTACCGAGACGCACGTCTGAGTGTAAAATGACGTTTTTATTTCAAAGCTGCACGATAACATACATGATAGCAATAACCTAAAAATTAAATGTAAAAAATAAAGTTTACAATTTAAAAATGTAACTAAGATCACCTGTTACAAGAGGATTCTGCAGATATTTTCATCTCATTTGCACATGTTGCACTTTGAACCAAACTCAATGTAAACAACACAATGTTAGACTTATATCTCACCAAAATGAGCAACTTTATTTAAATCTATTGTTTGACGTCTTATAATGTAAACTAATTGAACACCAATTATTTGTAACTGATTTGAGGATCCACAACTTCTCCACCACCAAAACCCTCAGCACTGGCTTCCCTCAGGGCTGTGTGCTGAGCCCCCTCCTGTTCACTCTGCTCACGTATGATTGTGCACCTACACATCCAGGCTGTCACATTGTGAAGTTTGCAGATGATACAGCGGTGGTGGGATGCATCACAAACAACGATGAGTTGTCCAAGCTGAGCTGGTGCAAAGAGAATAACCTTCACATCAATGTGAAGAAGACAAAGGAGATTATTGTGGACTTCAGAAGGAACAAGCACACCTATACCCCCCGAACATAGGAGGATCTGCGGTGGAAGTGGTCTCCAGCTACAAGTACTTGGGTGTGCACCTGAATTGCAACCTCAGCTGGAGCAACAACACCACCAGCCTGATCAAGAAAACTCATCAGAGACTTTACTTCCTCAGAGGCTGAGACGAGCTGGTCTGGGAAGCTCAGTCCTCACCTCCTTCTACAGGTGTGCAGTGGAGAGCATCCTGTGCTCCGGCATCAACGTGTGGCATGGAGGCTGCACAGCTGCAGAAAGAAAAGCTTTGCAGAGAGTGGTGAAGGCTGCACAGAAGTCTGTCGGAATCAGTCTCCCCACCATCACAGACCTCTACACCTCCAGATGCAGGAAGAGGGCCACCTGCATCATGAAGGACCCCACTCACCCAGCACACACACTTTTTGCCCCGCTCCCCTCAGGAAGGAGGTTGAGGAGCATTAAGTGTAGAACCACTAGACTGAGGAACAGCTTCTACCCTGAGGCTGTTAGACTCATGAATCTCTAACCAGGAAAATCACTGTAATCCCACTTTGACTGGTGATATGTGCTGCTGATCTCATGCTGCTGATTATTTCATGCTGCTGTGTTCATTCGTACTCATCTGCTCACACAGACTCATGTTCGTGCTGCGGTTATTCAGCGTATTGTTGCACTATTAGTGTATTCTTAGTTTATATGTTAGATCCTTATTACCGTTTCTTTTTGCACTTTATATTTTTGCTATTTTTGGATGTAACTGGGACCCTGTGTACACAATTTCCTTCCACCTCATGTAGCACATATGCGAGTGACAAAACCTACTTGAAATTGAATTGATTTAGTCCCATCAATATTTGGAAAAAGTGTGTTTGCTGCCACCTGGTGGATGAAAATAGTAAAATTTCACTGCAACATCAAGCTCTGATCTATTTTATATGTGTATTAATAATTTTCATTCTAATGGTTTAAATCTACTGTTAAATATACCTACATGTAAGGAAGTGTATTTGTTTGATTTTAAAGAGAACTGTATGCAGCTTGAAGCTTCTTCATGTCTTTTTTGCAGGTTTTGGTTTTAAAGAGTCCATGAACAAACGTCATGAAGTCGTCATGTTCCGGCTTTAAACCCCAAGTAGCCACACGTTCATAAAGTACCACGTGGAGGACAGTGTCCCATTTTTTACATGTATTTATATTGTTCTTTTCCAGGAGCTGTAGCTTGGTGCTTCTGCCATCAGCATCTCTCAGTTGCACAAACACGCTGTAAATTCGGCTCAGCTGAGTTCACATAAGTTCCTCTATTCATCTGAAGACGGTGAGGTTCTGCACCCGCCCACCCTTTTCTGTCTAGCACTCCTGCTGGGATCTGCACTGAACCCAAATGAACCTGAAGGGGAGAATTTAGAAAATAAACAGACTTGCTGTTTTTCCCCCCCTCCTCATCCTCCCTGGTGACATTCATACGACAGCGATAACAGTGTCAACTAACAATTTGATGCTGCTGCGTATAAACTCCTCCCTTTGGCTTTCTACGATGGACTCCTCTATTATCAATTGACTCAAATGTTAATTTCTATATTTACTGTGAAGGAACAAAACACTGAAGCAGAACAAGTC